GAACAAAACTGCTAAACAAGATTCAAAACAGCGGGGCCCACTCACGGCCCGAAAACTGAACCCCTTCAATCCTCTGGTGGTGCAAACGCCTGCCACTCGCGGGCACTCCTTTTCATTCGGGCTGCTGCACAGGTGCGGTTCCGTACCAGAGCCGTCCTCCCGCCCTCTATGGGTGCAGCACGGAACACCTGCCCCCAAATCCTTGCCCAAACGCAGGCCAGGCTTAGGTGGTGATTTGGCCGGGCGAGAAGAATGAAAAACATGGCTAAGACATGAGCAAATTCCGAAAACAACCACCTCCCTCAAGCAAAGCAGGAGGGTGCCAAATCGGTCAGCAAATGCAGTGGCTAGCACAACAGCTGGTTCTTGCAAACTTGCTCCGCTCGCTGCCTTCTCAACTGCCGTTCGCACTTGGAAGGCCAAGCCTTCGGAAGGCTTCGGCTGAGAACAAAAAGCAAAAACAATCGTAATCGTACCACTGAGAAAACCGTTACATACGTCATCCCTGCTGTCTTTGAGCATGCATCGGCATCTTCATGTAGTGCACGCGTGAAGGCCAGAACATTGTGTGCATAAGTGTGTGTGTGTGTGTGCGCGTGTACAATGCAAATACGCAAGTGCATGCAAATACGCAAGTCTAGATAAATACAAGTATATGAATGAGGTAATACATAACTATATAATTGGAAGACTTGATTAAACGAACAAACAAACGCAAAGCAGAACACAGGCATGAATATGTGTATATATATATATATGCGCATTTGTTTAGTGTGAATGTGTATGTATGTGTGTAGATACATATTATATGTAAACATATATGCATATATGCGTGGCCTGGGTTCAAGAGACATGTGTGAGTAGGTTCCAGCTTTTGAGTAGGAGTCATGACGGACGGGGTGCCATATGGGATGAGACGATCACGCGGCGAGGACAGGGGTAGCTGGCAGCGACCGTGCGACGGAGGCGGCGACGTATGTGAAAACTTCTTGAATACAAATATTATGATGCAAGTATATAAATGTGTGTGTGTGTGTCTTTGTATCTGAATTGTAACCATACATGCGTGCCATACTTGTACACACACGTACATGCATGCATGGCACGCATTGCATGCATTCATGACAATTTATGTATGCGTGTATGTATGATGTATGTGCCTGCCCTGCCCTGTGCCCGCCTTGCCCGCCCGCCCACCTGCCCGCCTGCCTGCCTGCCTGCCTCCGTGCCTGCTTGTCTGTCTGTCCGTGTCTGGCAGTATGTACGTACTTGCGTACGGATGCATTTCTGTCTGTATGTTTGTATGCCTACATTATGCTTGTATGTATGATGTATGCATGAATGTGTATGTGTGCATGTGCGTATGTGCGCATGTGTGTATGTGTGTAGATGTGTATGTTTGTATGTGTGTCGCTTTGTGTGTGTATGTGTACGGGTGTATGCATGTGTATGTGCACGTGTGGAACACTGGATGGATGGATGGATGGATGGATGGATGGATGGATGGATGGATGGATGGATTGATGGATGATGGATGGATGGATGGATGGATGCGTGGACTTATGGATGCATGGATACATGGATGCATGGATGCATACGTGTGCGTG